CCCCAAAACCCCAAAACCCCAAAACCCCAAAACCCCAAAACCCCAATATTATAATATAATATTGAAATGGATAGTACATTTTTAGGGATAAATTTCCTACTAAATTCAGGTGAGAAAAAGGACCAAAAGAGTGCTAAACCCACAACTACAGAATGATCCAAATCACCTATACGGAGCGAAGACTCGAAGCTAGATGTCGACAACCAATTTTTCAAAATAGCCCAAGAAACTCAGAGTTGAAATCAGGAGAAATAAAAGGAAGGCAAGTATGAATATGGAAAAGAAAATGAAGAAAATGGAAGGATACACTAAGAGCTTCTTTAAATCAATGCAACAGGCTAAAGAAACTCAGAAGAAGAGAGACATCCCTAAGGAGCTAGATAAAGTTGAGATAGACGACTGGGATAGCAATTTAAAGGAAATCCATAAATATGTTGAAAATAAGGAAGACTGCTTAAGAAGCGAAGGGTACTATTGAACGCTACATGGCAATGTTAAGGGCATGATCTCGATTAAAGAGGGAATCATCATTTTTGATCCCCTATCTTCAGAGGAAAATGAAGAATATGATGACTTGTCCAGATTTAATTGCTATATCGACCTTCAGGATATATGAGATGTCCAGATGATAAAAATTCCTAATGAGAGTGCAGCATATGTGCAAGATGAAAATGATAGACAGTGTTATATTTATGATTATTATATCCAGTTTGCTTTATCTACACTTAATGGAAAAACAATAGACAAACTTCTTTCGAAGAAAATTCAAACAAAGCGTGGTAGTGATAAGCTGAGAATCACAGGTTTGAAAATTGATGAAGAAACTAAATTTACTACTGTCACAGAAGTTGATAAATCACCTCCCGACAGTGAGAAGAAGCATATAATCGAGAAATCTCTCCCTGACAATAACGTGTTCCATAAACAATCTAAATCAGAACCAAAGGGTTTGGTATTCTTCAGGTTCTCTCACAGGGGCCGTGATAAAAAGGCTTTAACAAATGAGCAGCAGGAGGCTATTGTTGATAATATTTACCAGAATATTTACTATCTAACCTCAAATATAAGTCCTAGCAAGTTCTCATCTTCAAAGGTACCCTTCTACGATAGCTTAATCGATGAGAATGACAAAGTGATACCATACTCAAATGTATGCTCAAAAGATAAAGTTACTAAATACTCTGAAAATTATTACAAGCCGTCTAATAAGGTTGACACGAGTATTGTCGAAGAAGGGATGAGTATGAAAACTAAAGTAGTCTCAGCATCCATCCCTACATTCTCACCCTTTATTCCAGGCGTATCTTCAGCAATAATTTCTGAAACCCAGGCTATTATGATCAGCAGATTCTTGCCTCCAATGATTAGGATGAGAGAGTGGGAAAGAGTCTTCTCAATTGACGTAGACGGAGCCAGCTACAAAACTTTTTACAAAAATGTATACAATCATTCAGCAACTATCCTCATCATTCAGGATTCAAATGGATGGAAATTTGGAGCCTATGCAGCCTCTGATTGGGAAATTAAGAAGCATTTTTATGGAACTGGAGAATCATTTCTATTTACCTTTAAAGACACTGACCAAAATATCTCAACATATAAATGGACTGGTGAAAATGACAATATTCAACATTGAGGTGAGACATCAATCGCAATGGGAGGTGACCAAGGAAAGCACGCTTTATATATTAGAAACTATTTCTTAACAGGCGCTAGTCACAAGTGTAAAACATTTAACAATGAAGTTATATCCTCAGACGAATTCTTCGACATTGTGAAGTTTGAAGTTTGGGGCTTTGATTGATATTAATTTCTTGCATAATAAATATGAAAAATATTTATTTTGACCTTATCCAATATTAATTTACTTCTTCAAATCAATAATTAACAGCTTCTTTCCTCAAACGATATCAAAAGCTGCAACTTTTCTTGATAAAAATTTAATTCTGTGCAAAAGCGACATTCTAAAATTTTTAAGAAGTAGAATACCCTAAACTTTGATTAAGATGTTAAAGTCAGAAGGAGTATAACACTACAGCATAAATATTTTAGTGTGTGTTAATCCCTACTTAGTTTAATGCAAAATACCCTCACATCAGTTTTGATGCAGCAAGATTTCAAATAGAAGGTTGTATTAGAATGAGCAAATATTATATATTCAATAACTGATCATCCACAGGGGTTTTGGGGTTTTGGGGTTTTGGGGTTTTGGGGTTTTGGGG